CTTCAAGTTTAGTGGAACGCCATATCCTTTCAAGTTGTCTCGACTTTTGCTTTATTTTGCGGGTTTCGGCATTATGCCATGGAGCTAGTCTATGTTGTTTTATTTTCTTCTTTTCCAAAGGAGCAACAGAGCCTAATTTTATTCGCAGGGCATCTGTAGCACTATCAACAACATGATCAATTTGGGGTGGTGTACATTTTGTTTAAGTTTCCTCCCTTACATGCAGACATGCTATCGAGTTAAATATTGGTGGAATCTCTTCCTTAAATTTGGCTATCGCACTAACAGATAGGTTTCTGCTGCAGGAGCTTTTGACTAATGGTTTGTAGTCTAGTAACAGATAGGTTTCTGCTGCAGGAGCTTTTGACTAATGGTTTGTAGTCTAGTAACAGATAGGTTTCTGCTGCAGGAGCTTTTGACTAATGGTTTGTAGTCTAGTAACAGACAGGTTTCTGCTGCAGGAGCTTTTGACTAATGGTTTGTAGTCTAGTAACAGATAGGTTTCTGCTGCAGGAGCTTTTGACTAATGGTTTGTAATCTAGTAACAGACAGGTTTCTGCTGCAGGAGCTTTTGACTAATGGTTTGTAGTCTAGTAACAGATAGGTTTCTGCTGCAGGAGCTTTTGACTAATGGTTTGTAGTCTAGTAACAGACAGGTTTCTGCTGCAGGAGCTTTTGACTAATGGTTTGTAGTCTAGTAACAGATAGGTTTCTGCTGCAGGAGCTTTTGACTAATGGTTTGTAATCTAGTAACAGACAGGTTTCTGCTGCAGGAGCTTTTGACTAATGGTTTGTAGTCTAGTAACAGATAGGTTTCTGCTGCAGGAGCTTTTGACTAATGGTTTGTAGTCTAGTAACAGATAGGTTTCTGCTACAGGAGCTTTTGACTAATGGTTTGTAGTCTAGTAACAGATAGGTTTCTGCTACAGGAGCTTTTGACTAATGGTTTGTAGTCTAGTAACAGATAGGTTTCTGCTACAGGAGCTTTTGACTAATGGTTTGTAATCTAGTAACAGTACTTCAAAAGTTACCAAAAAATGGTCGGATAAAGCAGGATTATGCGGTTCGACCAATAGTTGCTCAATTTCAATACCATAAGTCAGAACAAGGTCGAGAGTGTGATTATAACAGTGGGTTGGTTTATTTACACTCTGACAGAAACCAATATAATCTAATATAGAGTTAAATGCAACAGTAAGGATATTTTTATCGTCGTCAACATGAATATTAAAGTCACCTACGATAATTACTTTTTACTGTTGAAAGTACCAAAGTTCATAAAAACTCAGAGAATTCTGATTAAAATTCTGAATAAAGACCTGGTGCACGGTACACTGTAACAAATAAGATTGGCTGCAAAGTTTTCCAGGTTGGATGCGTAAGACTAAAAACAAGGCTTTCAAAGGAGGTATAATTTAATTTTGGTTTCGTATTGATAAGTAAACTTGAGTCAAAGATTGCTGCAACTCCACCTCCTCAGCCTGTGCCTCGAGCAATATGAGTATTGATATGGCTGGGTGGAGTGGCTTCATTTATGCTGACATATTCTTCATGTCTCAACCAAGTTTCAGTGAGACAGCATATATCAATATTATAATCTGATATTAAATCATTTACCAATATTGCTTTAGATGCTAGAGATCTTATGTTTAAGAGTCCACATTTAATCTTCCTGTTTTGTTGCACTGTAGTAGTTGTTACATTGACTTTTATTAGGTTATTATGTATGACACCTCTATTAGGTTTACTTTAAATTGTCCTTGGGCAGACACACACACCGTTAATATTGGGTATTTTATTGGAGAGAGCGCAGAGAAGCGTGTAAGACTGCGACTTCGCCTCCTGGTCTCAACTCTAGTTTGTCATGACTCATGGATTAAGTCCACAAAGCTCTGAAATGTTTGCTGAAATGAGATCTGCACCTTCCAGAGTAGGATGAATGCCGTCTCTCTTAATCAGATCAGGTTTTCCCCAGAAGGCTGTCCAAATATTTACGAAGCCCACATCGTTTGCTGGGCACCACCAAGACAACCAGCGCTGAAATGATGACATGCAGCTATACATGTCGTCATTGATCAGATTGGGGAGGGGACCAGAGAAAATGACGGTGTCCGACATTGTTTTAGCATATCTACACACCGACGCCACATTAACTTTGGTGCATTCTGATTGTCGTAAACGAACATCATTACCACCGACGTGAGTAACAATCCTACTGTATTTACGTTTATTCTTAGCCAGCAGTTTAAGATGCGCCTCAACGTCGCCCGCTCTGGCCCCCGGTATGCATGTGACTGTGGAGGCTTTGGTCTCTAAATTCACGTATCTCAGAATAGAGCTACCAATAACCAGAGTTGGCTTCTCAGCGGGTGTCTCGTTGAGTTGGGAAAATCTGTTAGATAAGTGAACAGGTTGGTGGGGACCTGCGGGTCTCGCGTTATGCCCCTTCTGAACAGTCACCCAGTCTGCCGGCTGTTCGGGAGTTGCCGGGGGACGGCTAGTAAGAGCTACCTCTTGCACCGACTAACATGGGTTTTACTGTAGCTGAGTTACTTTCTAAAATGCGGAGCCGGGCTTCTATGGCTATGATTCCCGCCTCCAACCTAGCAGCTGTACTACATTTAACACATGTAGGCCTATCGGTACCAGTAAAGGAGGTAGGGAAGTAACCAAACATGAGACAGATAGAGCAGGAAATAGCACCCGAGGGTGGGGAAGGAGCCATGGCTAGCTATCAAGCTAAAGTAGCTACCGTTAGCAAACCCGAAAGAAGTGTAAGCAACTGTGGAGTTACAGTCGCTATGAGAAGAAGAGTTGTTTGATTGATTGATTGAAAAGTTTATTAACAGCTTGTATATTGGGTACAGTACAGTACAGCTCAAAACATACAATTGTTAAGGGGATGCAGACCAGAGAAAGACTTTCGTCTTGTTTACATCAGGGTCCCCCATTTCCAATTCATCATATCATTTAAGACATATAAGACATATTTGACATACAGATGGCTTATTTACAATTTACATACAGGTGGTTTTTTACATACAGATGGCTTATTTACAATTTTCATTTTAGATTTCGTTCTAATACATCCTAACCGGACATTTAAGACATACCAAGTCTACAGATATACAGTTAGTAACAGAGTCTAAAATGCGAGTATATACATAGATGGGGGGGGGGAAGCTGTCCATTGTACGACAGGTTGAGATTTGTACCATTACCGGGGCCAGTTTTGCAATGCTTTCCCCGAAGGTGCTCTTTAAGAGAGGTTTTGAAGGTAAGTATAGTTTTACTTTCCTTTACAGTTGTGGGAAGAGCGTTCCACCTTGATGTGGCATAATTGCGAAACGTGTATTCCCCTTTTTTTTGTGCCAAATCTGGGTTTTACATGATTTGTGGAGCTCCCTCTGGTGTTATGATCATGGTATTCCTTGACCTTTGGGAAGAATTTTGACATGTACATGGGTACCATAGAGGTGTAGTGGATCTTGTAGACCAGGCCCATTGCAAGTAGCTGTACTCTGTCGTCTACTCTAAGCCATCCTAGGTTGTCAAAGTGGGCAGAGGTGAGGTGGGTTCTAGATGAAAGGTCAAGCAGTAGTCTGACCAGTTTATTTTGCGATGTTTGAAGTTTTATTTTTAGCGCCTTGGAGGTGCTATGGTACCATGACGTGCAAGCATAGTCATAGTACCCTTGAATGAGTGCTCCTGCCAGAGTTTTCAGGGTGTTTTTGTTTACCAGAGAGGAGATCCGGTATAGGAATCTAGTTCTTTGATTGACTTTTTTTATTACATTGGATGCCATTTTGTCACAGGAGAGGTTTGCCTCAAGAATAGATCCTAGGTATGTAATTTCCTTCTTACTTGTGACAATAATGTCACCCACTGCAACTGAGAAGTCGTCGGATTTGCTGAGATTATGTTTCGAACCGAAGAGAATGGACTCTGTTTTACCCAGGTGTAATGATAATTTATTATCGGCGAGCCAGGTGCAGATTCTGCCGAGCTCGGAGCTGAGGGTTTTTTCAACCTGCAATCTGCTCCTGTCAGAGACCAGCAGGGCTGAGTCGTCCGCGAACAGGAACAAGTTGCAGTCACATGCTGATGACATGTCATTTGCATAAATTAGGAACAGTAACGGACCTAATATGCTTCCTGTGGAACACCACAGCTCACTGGGAGGGGGGGGGACAGAGTACCGTTTACCTCCACCATCTGTTCTCTCCCCTCCAGGTAGGATTGCATCCAGCTCACCGATAGTTTATCAAAACCAATTGCTTTTAGCTTGTCAATCAGAATGGGGTGATTGACAGTGTCGAAAGCCTTTTGTAGGTCCAGCATCACCATGCCGCAGTATTTACCCTCGTCCACCTCTTGTTTGATGTGGTCGTTCAAATAAAGAAGGCATGTGTCAGTGGAGTGGGATGTTCTAAAGCCAGATTGAAATTCATAGATTAGTTTCTTTTCTGCGAGGTACTTTTCGACCTGTTCATATACTATTTTTTTCCATGACTTTCGAGATGGAGGTAAGTATAGAAACAGGGCGGTAGTTGCCTGGGTCCAATTTGCTGCCCTTTTTTGTGCAGGGGGGTTACTCTTGCAATTTTGAAGTCTTTGGGGTACTTTTCCCTGTTTTATGGAGAGGTTAATTATGTGAGCTATGACTGGTGAGATGGCGGTTGCTGTGTCTCTGAGGAATTTGGAGGGGATATTGTCGTGGCCAGTGGCCTTGTTAGGTTTGAGGGCGCTCAGTTTAATGAGTACCTCTGCTGTTGTTACCCTTGCTAGACTGAAATCATCTTTGCGTACCCCTAGGGTTTTTGTAGTAGGTCATGGTGTGATCTACTCCAAAGAGCCCTGAGTGGGAGGGGAATTTATTTACAAGGGTTGTGGCTATGTT